CCTGGGTTTGAACTGAGATCCTTAGATCTCAGCCTTCTTTTTTTTTTTTTTTATCAGTTGTGGGGCTTGAACTCTGGGCCTCAGCGTTGTCCCTCAGCTCTTCAGCTCAAGGCTTAGTGCTCTCAAGGCTACAGCAGCACTTCTGGTTTTCTGGTGGTTTATTGGAGATAAGAGTTTCACTGACTTTCCTACCCAGATCTCAGCCTCCTGAGTAGCTAGAATTACAGGCGTGAATCACCAGTACCTAGCTCTAAATGATTTTTTTTTTTTTTTGTTGGTCATGGGGCTTGAACTCTGGGCCTGAGCACTGTCCCTCATTCTTCAGCTCAAGGCAATCACTCTACCACTTGAGATACAGTGCCACTTCCGGTTTTCTGGTGGTTTATCGGAGATAAGAGTTTCATGGACTTTCCTGCCTGGGCTGGCTTTGAATCGTGATCCTCAGATCTCAGCCTCCTGAGTAGCTAGGATTACAGGCGTGAGCCACCAGTGCCCTGCCCTAAGTGATTTTTTACTTATTTATTTTTTTTTTGGGGGGGTCTGGTTGGGGCTGAACTTTGGGTCTGGGCACTGTTCCTCATCTCTTCAGCTCAAGGCTAGCGTTCTACCACTGGAGCCACAGCGCCACTTCTGGCTTTTTTTTTTTTCTGCTTATGTGGTACTAAGGAATTGAACCCAGGGCCTCATGTATACTAGGCAAGCACTCTACCTCTAAGCCATATTCTCAGACCCCTAAATGGTTTTTGTCTTCCTTCTCCGCTTAAGGAATTCTTTTAGAACCCTAGCAGGTAAACCATCTGGGGTGCTCGAGACTCAGGGCCACAGATATAGCAGTGTCCTAGCCTGACCTTGTCCTCAAGGCAGGCCTTTTAAACACCTTTCCCTGGCCAGAGCTTCCTCTTCTTCAGTTGGACTCAAGGGCCACTAGCAACTCCACAGCTCTCTGAATCAATGGAAAGTGCCGTGGAATGAGAGAGAAGCTGAGGAAACAAATTCAGGGCGCATTTTGCCAGTAGCAGGGAGAGGAGAGAGGAACTGAGCATAGTCAGAGCTATTGTAGGGGTTGTGGGGCTGGTGAGAGCCACTGAAAGTCCGGCTCGCAGAGGGCTGATGCGGAGGGGACACCTGGAGAGAGGCAGGACTGGCTTGTGAGCGCTCGGCCTGGCTCTGAGTAGGCCGGGGGCCCAGCCTGTCAGGACTTAGGGCTGTGTCTGCTCTCTGGGGCCAAGCAGGGGGCCTGCTATTCGTGGGTCCTGACGTCAGCACCCAGGCCTGTCCAGGGGCGGTGGAGGCTAGCTTGGCAGCAGCACACGCAGTACTGTACTTCATGTCCTGAGATGGACCCAGACTCATTTCATCAGGACTTAGGACCTCTGTGCCCTCTCACACCTCCAGCTCCAGCAACTGGGGTTTCACCAAGAGTCTAGAGAGGCCAGGGAAAGAGGGAGGAAAGGACATGGGCTGCCTCAGATCTTAGAGAATTGAACCACCCGTGATGGTTGACTCTCCAAATATCAGACATGTCTCCCAGAACAAACTTGGGTCTGCTGGGCCCAGCTGCTTCCTGAAGTTGAGCTGTGGAGGGCCCAATAGGACAGTTTCATTGAGAGATTTTTTTTTTCTGTCAGAGAAGTTATATTTAGCCAGGAAAGGAAGGTCACAGGATATGAAACCATCATCCTCATTCTTTTTTTTTGTCAGTTGTGGGCTTGAACTCAAGGCCTGGGCCCTGTCCCTAAGCCTCTGTGCTCAAAGCTAGGGCTCTACCACTTGAGCCACAAAGCCACTGCTGGTTTTTAGTGGTTAATTGGAGATAAGAGTCTCAAGAGGACTTTTCTGCCCTGGCTTTGAACCCCAATCCTCAGATCTCAGCCTTCTGAGTAGTTAGGACTACAGGCGTGAAAATTGTTTTTTTTTTTATCTCTTTTTTTTAAATTTAATTTTATTTTTTTTGTGAATATACTGTACAGAGGGGTTACAATTACATGGGCAGGATAATGCGTACATTTCTTATCAAGCATTGCAGCCTCCTCCTTTGTTTACCCTTCCCATCCCTTCCCAGCCTCCCCCCACCCTTCACTCCAAATTGTTGAGCAGAAGGTCAGGGAAAGTTTGACCCCAAGATGGGAAGGATGTGGATGTAAATGTGAATGTATACACGGTCCTGTCCGGGGCCCACAGTGGAAAGACACAGTAGTATGAGGTCATGGTAAACCCCCAACACCTGGGAGTATGTAGGCCTCTTACTCCCACCAGGGACTCTTGCGAATATTGGAAATGTTATATAGGAGATCAGAGCCACAGGCCATTCATCTTGTCACCTTTGTCCCCTTGTCACCAAAGTGCCATCATCATCACCAAGGATGTCACCATCAGCATCTCCACTGCAGTCATCACCAGCATCATTGTCACCACCACGCCATCTTCCTCGTCATAGCCATCAACATTACCTGACATCAGGAACCTATAAAAGGAAGTAGATTGCCCAGGGTAAAGCCTCAATAGCTGCTGTTCTAAGAGCAAAAGCCAGGTCTGGGGAGACCCACCTCAACTTTGGAGGCCATACCAGTCATCCTTCCAATGGGGAAGGGCTGGAAACAGGAGGCTGTGAGTCAGGATTATTTGTCTTGACAGTTGCAGTGGTTTGCAACTTTTGTCTATTAGAATTACTGAACATTTTTTTGGTGGGGCTTGAACTCTGGGCTTGGGTGCTGTCCCTTAGCTCTTCAGCTCAAGGCTAGTGCTCAACCACTTGAGCCACAGCGCCACTTCCGGCTTTTTCTGTTTATGCTGAGGAATCGAAGCCAGGGCTTCATGCATGCAAGGCAAGCACTCTACCACTGAGCCACCTTCCCAGCTCATTTTTTTAAAGTCCTGTTGAGGGGACCACACCCTGGATTATTTAAATCAGAACTACAGAGGGACTTTGGGATTTAACAATCAGATGACCCTTAACCTATTGTCATTGCTGAGAACCACAGGTGGAGAGGCAGGTTTCTGGGGTGGTGTAAACCAGCACCGTTCAAATAAACATGTAAATGAATCACCTGAGCATCTGGTTGAAGGAAAGGTCTCATCAATAGGTCTGGGCTGGAATCTGAGATGTGCATCTCCATGAAGCTCCCAGGTTGAGGCTGCTGGTCCTCCTGTCACATGACATTGGTAGAACCTTCCGTGACTCTGGTTCCAGTCTCCTCACCTGTAAAACAAGGCAACATAAATACTTGATTTCCAAAAAGCAAGTAACATATTATACTATCCAGCACAGAGAAGAACATTTTTGTATTACTTGGCAGAAACGTATCTTGTATGGTATTTAATCTTGCTGCTCAGAGGATTACTAGTCTCCTTGGGACAAACCAGGTTTCTGCCATGGATTCCCCTCCAGGGGTGAGAGTTTGCGGAGCTAGAGATTGAAGAAACCAGGACTTAGAGGTATTTAGGCGTGCATGACCTCCAGCTCCATGTCCTGGAAAACATACTGGAACTCGCATGTAACCACAGACTTTTTGTGGGAAAGGCAGGGGCCTGCAGACCCTGGAAACAGAATTAAGACATGGTTCCTGCCATTCAGGAGCCAGGAACATGATGGTGGAGTGCAGGCACATGTAGGCAGAGGCTGAGGTCTTAGGGGAAAGGGGTTCCCCGTGCCCCTGGACCTGGTACAGACCAGAAGTTGGCAATTCTGGGTTCTGGTCACCCCAGAGCCACCTGGTAGCCTTGTGTCTGAGGCTATCCAAATTTGACTCTAAAATCGGTCTGGCAGTGGTCAGGGAGGTTAAGTGGGGTCGTGTCTATTAAAGGGAAAGTTTTCTACATGAATATACAGGGCTCCTTGCTAACAAAGGCCCTAGAGCTCCCTGTCTTTCTGAGCTTGACACAGGTTGGCCGTGGAAATCAGTGAGAAGCTATTTGCTCCTGATGCCCAGAGGCTACCCCAGCTTTGTGAGAAGTAGCAAGGGGCTACCCTAAGATGGAAAGCCTTTTGTCTATGGAGTCAGAGAGGACAGCCATAGGCTTAGCCTGGGAGGGGGTATCTCTAGCAGAGAGGGGGAGCAAGAGGCTTTGAGAGGCAAGGGGAATACAGGCTGCCTCCACCACTCCAAGACAGGACACTTGAGGTCTCTGCATCCCACGTGCCTGCACTGCCCTCCCGGGGCAGGCCTCCTCCCGAGACAGAGCCCAGAGCAGGAAGGATGGGCCCAACCCTTGCTTCTCACCTCATTTTTCAGAGACATTAAACTTGACCCCGGCACAGACTGGGCTGCTGCTTGCTCTCTCCTGCTTGCTTTTCCTGTGCCCTCTGCTCTCCTAGTAAAGTTACAAGCCCTTAGAAGGGGATTCCCCCTCAGGAGAGGTTGGCCGAGGCCACTGGAAAGCCCAGGCCCTGTTTGGATATCTCCTCTCAGGCCCTGTCCCCTCTAATCTGAGGTAGCAAGGCCAGCAAATGCCTGCCCTTAAGGGGACAGGGTTAGATGTGTGACTTAATAAGGTTGAGAGCCACAAGTAATCCCCTAAGTACTTTGCCTTGTAACCTAAGATTATCTAGCCTGCAAACACCTGTTTTCACCCCTTTGCTGATAGTAATATAAAAAGCTTGCTAGTTAATGACTCTAGGAACTGACAACGGGTGGAATGTACAAGTGTTTGTCCTACCTTGGACGTAGCTCCTTGTGAGCCAGGCTGCACGTGCCTCGTCAGCAAGGTTGAGGGGGACTGGAAGGGCTCACCCAAGTTTCCATCTATAAACAATCATTGGGACCTCAGTGGGGGAGACTGGAGGGTCAGCGTCAGGGTTTTGGGGTGAGGGGGTTCTCTGCTTAGTGCAGCCAGCCACTAACTCCTTTACTTCTGGAGAGCAGGTCGGTCTAACTCCCGGATCTGTGGGAGGGCGCCAGACACACACACCCTCCCAGGAGAGGGAGCTAGATTGCGTAGACCTTGAGAAGCAGCGCAAGTGCCAACCCTGTGAACTGACCAATCATGTTCTAATCATTTAGAACTGCAAGTCCCTGCTTCGGGTGGCACAGAAGATGTTGGCAATTTGTTGGAGAATCATTTCTCTGCTGGAGACGCAAGTCTAGAGGAGAAAGAAAGGGCGCTCTATGCAGATGCGGCCCCTCCAGACAAGAATCTGCTCCTTCACTACCCAGACGGCAGGGAGGCTGAGAGCTCGGAGCAGACCACCACTGGGGTCCCCCCCGCCGCCACCGGCCCGGGCTCTGAGCCCGAAGCCAGCCTCTCCAATGCCTCAGCTGCGGACTCAGCCTCCCCGGAGGATGCTGCTGGGCCTGGGGAGGGCGCGGAGGGATCGCCGGTGGGAGGCGGCCTTCCTCTAGGAGGGGATGAGGGGCCCAGGGAAGAGGAGAGGCCAGAGCTGGGTTCAGGAGAGGAGGAGGCTGGGCTGGGGCTCTCCACAGAGGGGGCTGTCGATGGGGAGGCAGGAGTGCAGGTGGGGAATGGTGGAGTCCTCAAGGCAGCTGAGGGGGTTCTAGGAGACAGCCTTGTTCAGGGAGCAGCAGAAGAGGGGAGCACAGCGCCTAAAGCCACGGGAGTCTCCTCTGGCATGGAGGGTGAAGAGGCCCCTGCCACAGAGACAGACCAGGCCTGCCCAGGATCCGATCACCAGCCAGCAGATCTGGATGGAGCCTTGGATACGGAAGGGTCAGCATCGGCCGCGGAATCCGGGCCTGCTGCAGATGCGAAAGCCGGGGAGGGGGCTGAAGTCCAGCCTCAGGTCAATGCTCCAGAAACAGAAGACGAGAGGAGCACAGCGCCCCTTCATCAGCCCACAGAGATGGAAGAAGCACCAGACACCACATCAGTTGGGGTAGCGTCAGAGGCCGAGATGGACGCAGAAGCCGGGGAGGGGGCTGAGGACAAGGGCGAGGCTGGCCAGGCCGCAGAGACCGGGGAAGAGTCCAGTGACTCTCAGAGCTCTGGGGCTGGGGAGACTGGAGAGACAGGGTCCTCCAAGGACCAGGCGCCTGAAGAGGGCCCAGATGAGGCTTCTTCGGAGGAAGAACTAGAAGAAGAAGAAGGCGTCAGCGAGGAGGAAGGAGGAGTTGTATCTGAAGAGGAGTCTGTAGAAGACAGTGGCGACGGGGCTAGCTCAGAAGAAGGAGGTGCCTCGGAGCAGGCTGGGGAACCCCAGGAAGCAGCAGCAGAAACTACGGAGCCTGGGGAGCAAGGAGCCCAGCACCACACAGAGGATCTGAACACAGAGCCGGAGGAGGGTGGTGAGGCCCAGGCCGCCGGGGCACAGGAGCCCGAAGAGAAACCCCAGGGGAGGGGGAATCCTATCATTGCCACCCAGGGTAGGATTGAATTCCATAGGGAAACCCCAACAACACCTTGGGCGGTCATGTGCTTGATGGAAGTCTTGCATGTAGGGGGACAGAGTAGGTAGGAGAGCCCCTAGCTAGTCCTAGGATGGCCAGGAGAGGGGCCTCGTTGCGGACCCTGGCCCCAGGAGCTACTCTCAGGTAGCCTCTTGTCACCTGTGGAGTTGCTGAGTGAGGTCCAGAAGGACATGGCCACCTACCTTTAAAGCCACTAAGTGCACTCTAACATGGTCCAGTGTCTTGAGGACAAGGAGCCCGATGGCAGGCTCCAGGCTGCGGGATTGGCTGTGGATGGAGGTGGAGGGTGGATGGGAACCTCAGGTGTTGACTTCGTGGAGAGGTAACTGGGTCTCCCCTTGAAGGCCTTCCATGGGCGGCATGGGGAACTGGAACTGAGGGCTGAGGATTTTGGCATGACAGTTCAAGCTGACCGTGACACACTTAGGTCAGAGCATTCCTCAGAGGGCCGGGGGATGGGGGAACATGGTGGGGGCAGCGGAAAGCTATCGGGTAGAGTTAGAGATGTATCTGATGCTAGAGATGGCAGGACCTGCAGGCCTCACCGCCAGTCTGTGTGGACAGTGTCTTAGAAGCTGGCTTTCAGGGTCGATGTTGGGGTCAGGTTGTCACTTGCCCAGATGGCTTTCCCACAGCTTGCCTCAACGCAAATACTACCTGTCAGGTACTTGCATGCTCTGTAAAGGGGCCAGTTCTGACATCAGTAAGGTCCTCTCATTTTCTTGGTCCTCCTTGCTCTGGGTCTTGATCAGGGTCTGCTTAGGTTTGATCTTCTGAGATGCTTTGGGAGATAGAATGGTTGATACTGGACTCCTGCCCCACAGGCGTAAGTCTGCGTCTTTCTAACCTGCGATCCTCGGAATAGGTAGGCAGCGTGGCTAAAGACCTTAAGGCCCCGGGGACATGAGTAACACAAGTGTGGGACTGGCAGCAGAGGATGAAGGTGTTCGCATCTCTTGCTTGCTTGACTAGAAGGACAGCTGACCCCACCCAACACACACACACACACACACACACACACAGACACTCTAGATAGACTGCAGCAGCTCCTCCTGCCCTGCTTCCTGCTAGTGTAGTCTTGGTAAGATGTGCATTCCATTGGTGGGTTGTCTGCTTAGAGCCTCACAGTAACTCCAGTTGCCTTGGGATGAGATGCAAAAGCCCTTCAGCGGAGCTGTCTGCTCAGCTCCTTTGCAGTTCTTCATCTCCGTGGCACCCGTCCCTCCCTCCCTCATTAAACAGCTGTGTCATAGCCCACCCCTCTCCCTACTTCACTAATTAACTCCTGCGGAGCAGCAGACCCTAGAGAGGCCTCTCCTGATCCCTGCTAAGCCCTCAGTACACTTTTTACGCCTTCCAAGTGCCAGGGAGATTTCCTCCTGCAGCTTCTTCACTGTTTTAAAGCCTTTTGCATATTAAATTAAAAAAATGATCAGCTCTATCCCTCTGGGTTATAAGAGAGCTCCAGAAGAACAGAAGCTGTGCCAGGATGGGACATCCTGAGACGTCCAATTTGGCACATAATAGTCACTCAATGCATTCATTTATTTAGGTAAGTTTTGAGACCGAGTTGCATTATGCAGCCCAGGCTGGTCTTGATTTGCCGCCTTCTCACTTCATTCTCTTGCCTACGGGGCTTACAGATGTACTCGGCCATGCTCAGCACTCCATACTTTTTTTTTTTTTCCTTGAATAAATAGAACCGGTCATGGCTCTTAGACGTTGAGTTCAGATTTTCAGATTCCAGAACTCAGTTCAGTTTAAACTGGCAACTTTGTTCAGTACCTACTAGAGGCCCAGCCCTGGTCCACATCTAAGCACTTAGTACTCATCTGTCTTAGCTTTGTCCTGACTCCCTGTTTCTCTCCCTAGAAGAGGCAGAGGATGTGAGTGAAGAAGCACCTTTGAGGGACCGCTCCCACATCGAGAAAACCCTGATGCTGAATGAAGACAAGCCAGCCGATGATTACTCAGGTAAAGAGAGGAGGGAGACAGGCTGGGATAGCCCAGGGCTGTCCTTGGGCAGAGCCTTGGAGGTGACGGGGGGGGGGGGGGGGGGGCAGGCCACCGTAGCTCCACAGCCAGAGGAAGTGGAGAGCCCCAGAGGTGTGGGCTCTGTGAAAGGGGCCAAAGCAGGGGCTGGGAGGCCATCCAAGCAAAAGGCTCAGTGCAAGTGTGAAGGGCAGATTCCGGGGCAGCCACCTGTAGGCCATGCCAGCCTCTGTGCTCTGAGGGAGGATGGTTCATAAGAATTCATCCCATGTGCTTTTTTTTTTTTTTAAGCTTACAAAGCTCTTTCATGTCAGTCGTTTCATTCCCATCCTCATAATAACCCAAGGATTTTAGTGGGCTGTCTCCAGTGACGAGCTAGCCAAGCTCAGAGCTAGGCGATGATTTGCTCTTGGCACCCAGCCCAGAGAGCGGCAGAACAGGGCTGGACCTTTGCTAGCCTGACCCTCAGTCTGTCCATGGCTCTGGGCAGGGGCCACACGATCCTCCTGTGTTGCACATCTGGCACCTACCAGCTGCTGCCCCAGGAGGACGGTGCGGCCCCTCGTAGGGGCAGTGGGGATTGCGGTGATGGGCACAGGCGAGGGTGGCCATGCTGCAGGCCTGCCGGGCATCTAGCTTCTTATTCTCATGGCCTACGGCTGCCCAAGCAAGGTGGATGGTGGAGAGAAAGAGATGGGGTTCTGTCTCCAAGGAAAGGACTTTCCCATGGGTCAGTGTTTCTGGATAAGGAAGAGAGAGGGTTTTTGTTGTTGTTGTTTTGTTTTCCTAGAAAAATAGCTCAAGAGGCTTTGTGGGTAGGTAGGAAAGTGCTCTTGAGGATCTCTAATGGTTGGAATGTGGACCAACTCTGGTCACCACGAGTGTGAGCACATCATACCACCTCTGGGCTGCAGACAGCCCTTGTTCCCCACTTGCCTGGGGTGTGAGATTGTTCTACAGTGAGAGCACCTGGAGCCCACCTTGCCTGATGCTCTCCCCTCGTTCTTCTCTGTCCCCCCCCCCTCACAGCGGTGCTACAGCGGCTTCGAAAGATCTACCATACATCCATCAAGCCTCTGGAGCAATCGTACAAATACAACGAGCTTCGGCAACATGAGATTACAGGTACAGCAGTGGGGCAGTGTCAGGGCAACCTCTGAGCCACCCAGACTCCCCTGGTGACCGCGGGGCTCAGTGCAGCTCACAAGCTCCAGGAGCAAGGTGTGCTCTAGTGCCAGAGCCCAGCTGTCCTGAGGAGTGCGCGGGCCCGGGACGTCAGTCCTGTGAAGACCTCTGTCAGGGTTTGGCAGGCAGCATTTCATTGTTCAGTGTGCATGTCTCAGAAGTACAGACTTAGCCAGACACTGGTGGCTCACGCCTGTCATCCTAACTACTCAAGAGGCTGAGATCTGAGGATCACGGTTCAGAGCCAGCACAGGCAGGAAAAGTCTGTGAGACTCTTATCTTCAGAAAACTGGAAGTGGTGCTGTGGCTCAAATGGTAGAGCTCTAGCCTTGAGCTGAAGAGCCTAGGGACAGAGTTCAAGCCCCACAGCTGACAGAGAAGTGTAGACTTGATGTCCTGGGCGGTGATGCCAGCTTAGACCCTCTTATGCTCAAGAGCCGTTCAAGGCTCCCTGTTCACACAAGAATGGCGGTTTCTCAGCCTCTAATCAGCTGGGATTTCTTTTCCCCTCTCTATTTCTCTTCTCAGATGGCTTTCCTTGGGTCTAGACCCTTTTTGTTATGTTTTGAAACAGGATCTGGTTAGGTAGTCAGGCAGGCCTGTGACTGTTTCTTCTCTAAGGCAACATTCCCTGTTCCACAACTTCCTGTACTGTTCCTCGCATGCCTACGAGCCAATTCTCCTCTCTGCCTCCAGGATCCTGTTGTGAGGTCACACGGTCTCCCAGGGGCTTCCCCTTGTCCTCCGCACTGGCCTTCTAGCCCTGACACCAAGCATGGCATGGCCCTCCCAGGAAACTCTGGCCTTAAAGCAGCGGAGGCCGGGAGGCTGCCGTCTGCCCCAGGAGTGGCGCTCCGCAAGAAGGGCCCGTGTTCCTGGCATCTGCCCTCACTTTCTGGACTTGGCTCTTTTTCCTTAGTCTCTTGCCAGCTTTCTGCATGACCTCCTATCCCTGGGGCTCATGGCTGGCCCCATCGCTGGCCTCCCACACATGCCTGCAATGCCCCCTGCCGTGGATAGCCGGAACAGCAGCACTGGGAAGCCCTAGCCGTGATCAGTCTCAGAGTTCGCAGGTTTAGAGTTGGCCTTGGTGTCACTTGGGCCTGTAACATGGCTTTTGGTGAAATCTCTGTAGCCGTACATCTGCCACTCTCTCAGCCTGCCAATCCTCTCTGCCCTCAGCCATATGGGGTTCATGTGTGTATTTAAAACAGGCAAGGAGGGAAGGAGCAGGAACACAGTATTACTTCCAGGCTGGCCACTTATAAGACATCATATTCAACTGAGTAAGGTGGTTCATACCTGTATAATCCAAGCTACTCAGGAGGCTTAGACCTGGAGGATTACAGTTCAAAGCTATCTTGGGCAGAAAAGTTGACAAGATTCCATCTCCAATTAACTAGCAAAATGCTGAATTAGAGGCATGGTTTATGGCATGAACACATCATCAGCAATCAAAACTAGCAAGAAAGAGCATGAGTTCATGCACCAGTACCAGCACACAAAAATGTGATGATAGGGTATCTACAGTCCTGCATATGCATGCAGTAAGATATCTGAAAGCAATATGCTATACATGAGCCCTTGTACTGGGCACAGGGTGTAGAAGCCTGTAATCCCAGTCCTCAGAAGGCTGAGGAAGGAAAATCTCATGTTTGAGGCAGCCTGGGTTGCATTGTGACACACTGTCTCAAAAAATTGAGAAGAAAGCTGGGCACCAGAGGCGCATGCCTGTAATCCTACCAGCAGCACCTGGCTCTGTCTTCCTCTTTTTTTTTTTTTTTTGTGGCCAGTCCTGGGGCTTGAACTCAGGGCCTGGGCACTGCCCTTCAGCTTCTTTTTGCTCAAGGCTAGCGCTCTACCACTTGAACCACAGCGCCACTTCCGGCCTTTTCTGTGTATGTGGTACTGAGGAATGGGACCCAGGGCTTCATGTTTGCTAGGCAGCATTGTACCACTAAGCAAAACTCCCAGCCCTGACTTCCCTTTTTTATGAACCATTATCCTCCAAGTTTAGCCAGGAGATCTCACCCAGGGTAGTGTTGAGCCAGTGTATTAATTCACTTAGATTTTCCTCCTGGTACAGGAAGATGTGCCAGGGATATCTAGGTAAGTCAAAACCATGATTTCTGGGGTGTTTTAACTAAGTAATTGTACTTACTTAGAGAGCAAGAAAGGTGAGACTGACTGCTGTACACTGATCCCCTCCTTCCTCCCACAGACTCCAACAACCCAAGTGGACAACGGCTAGGGAGGCAGAGTTTTCTGGACATAGTGCTCCTACAATAAGATCTACCATTTTTCACTCCTGTTCCTAATTCCTACTTTCCACAGATGGGGAGATTACTTCCAAGCCAATGGTGTTGTTCCTGGGCCCGTGGAGTGTCGGTAAATCCACCATGATAAACTACCTCCTAGGGTTGGAAGATACTCGGTACCAGCTATATACAGGTGAGCAATGTCTGAGTGACTGTTGGTAGTTGAATGGCATATGTGAAAGTACTAGGAAAAAAATGACGATATTTATGTAGATCTTCAATATGATTGTGGGAACCACACACAAGAGACTGGCAGCCAAACCATGCCCACATGATTCAACAGGAGCCCAGAGTTGAAACAACTCAAATGTCTATGGGTGGATGAATGGATAACCAAAATGTGGAATGTTAGCACTAGAAAGGAATGATGCATACTGTCAGGATGCATCAGACATATCTGACACCTTATCTGTGACGTAACACCAGGCACAAAGGACACAAACTGTATGATTCCACTCATATGAGGAGTCACACCTACCTACAGTAGGAAAATTCATAGGGACAGAGGTAGAGTAGAGGTTGCTGGGGGTGGGAAAGTTGTAGAAAGTTAGTATTTAATGGGTACCAAGCTGTAGCTTGGGAAGACAAACAGGTTCTGGAGATGGATAGTGGTGATTGTTTTGCAATAGTGCAAATGTACTTATTGCCACTGAACTGTATGTTTAAAGACGGTTGAGATGGTATATGCTATGTTCTGTGTCCTTTACCACAATTAAATTGAAAAAGGGAACCACTAGCATAGCACATATATCCTATGCTGTGGCCAACTCCTTCTGAGGCTCCTTGCCTCCCATGTCTTTTGCAGTGGTGTCCTCATGATCACTGTCTGCACACATCTCACCCACCCATGCAGGTGCTGAGCCCACCACCTCCGAGTTCACAGTCCTCATGCATGGGCCCAAGCTCAAAACCATCGAGGGCATTGTCATGGCTGCTGACAGTGCCAGGTCCTTCTCACCCCTGGAGAAGTTCGGCCAGAATTTCCTGGAGAAGCTGATTGGTATCGAAGTTCCCCACAAACTTCTAGAGCGGGTCACTTTTGTGGACACACCAGGCATCATTGAGAACCGCAAGCAGCAAGAGAGAGGTAATTTAGCACCCATTTCTAAACAGCAGGATCACTCCAACCATCTAGCCAGATGCCAGTGGCTCATGCCTGTAATCCTAGATGCTCAGGAGACTGAGATCTGAGGATTGTGGTTCGAAGCCAGCCTGGGCAGAAGGTCCCTGTGAGGACTCTTATCTCCAATTAACCACTCAGAAACCAGAATGGAGCTGTGGCTAAAAGTGGTAGAGTTTTTTTCTTTGTTTTTTGTTTTTTTGGGTCCGGCATTGGACCTGAACTCAGGGCCTGGGCGCTGTCCCTCAGCTCTTCAGCTTAAGGCTAGCGCTCTACCACTTGAGCTACAGTGCCTTTTCCGGCTTTTTCTTTTTGCTTATGTGGTGCTGAGGAATCAAACCCAGGGCCTCATGCATGCAAGGCAAGCGCTCTACCACTGAGCCACCTTCCCAGCCCAGGAGGTTCTTATTTCCTCCTTTAGTGAACAAGAAAGTTGAAGAAGGCACTAAAATATCATGGGCACCGCTTTAAATTAGGTGCATTAACTAGGTGCTTTTCTCTTTTATAACAGCACAGTCTTCTTTTCTTACTGCTCTTCTTCTCATACTCTCTTCCTGGCCAGTGGCAAAGCCAAATTCCTGTCCAGGTCTTGATATTATATCTGTGTTTCTTCTAAACCCTGCATCCTCTCTCATTCTTCTGCTTCCATGACTTTTTTTTTTTTCCAACATCTTTGCCATTGCCCTAGATCTTTTAAGACATTTGGAAAATCTCTACTTGGAGCAAGTATTTCGCTTCCCTGGAGACTTGGATCCCATTGTAGATTAAAGCAGAGTTCAGGCTGTTCTTGGTTGAAGGCTGACAAAAGGCAGGAGATACACAATTTATTTCTCAATAGTTCTTTATAAACCCAGAAAATTCCCAACGCTATGACTTCTTTCCACACATGAATGGAATCGTTCTGGAGGGAGAGGCAAAGGGCGTTGTGTGAGCCACCATCAGCCTGACTTCTCATTCCTGTCTCCCCAAGGTTATCCCTTCAACGACGTGTGCCAGTGGTTCATTGACAGAGCTGACCTCATCTTTGTCGTTTTCGACCCTACCAAGCTGGATGTAGGTCTGGAGCTGGAGACGCTCTTCCGCCAGCTGAAGGGACGTGAGTCCCAGATAAGGATCATCCTGAACAAGGCAGACAATCTGGCAACACAGATGCTCATGCGTGTGTACGGGGCCCTCTTCTGGAGCTTGGCACCTCTCATCAATGTCACAGAGCCCCCTCGGGTTTATGTCAGCTCCTTCTGGCCACAAGACTATAAGCCTGACACCCACCGGGAACTGTTCCTCAAAGAAGAGATCTCCCTCCTGGAAGATCTGAACCAAGTGATTGAGAACAGGTTGGAGAATAAGATCGCCTTCATCCGCCAGCATGCCATCCGGGTCCGTATTCATGCCCTTTTGGTTGACCGCTATCTTCAGACTTACAGGGACAAAATGACCTTCTTCAGTGATGGAGAACTGGTCTTTAAGGACATTGTGGAGGATCCTGATAAATTCTACATCTTCAAGACCATCCTGGCAAAGACCAATGTCAGCAAGTTTGACCTTCCCAACCGTGAGGCCTACAAGGACTTCTTTGGCATCAATCCCATTTCCAATTTCAAACTCCTCTCTCAACAGTGCTCTTACATGGGAGGTTGTTTTCTGGAGAAGATCGAGCGGGCCATAACCCAGGAGCTCCCCGGCCTCCTGGGAAGCCTTGGGCTTGGGAAGAATCCAGGTGTTCCCAACTGTGACAAAACAGGGTGTGGCGAGACCCCAAAGAATCGCTACAAGAAGCACTAGGGTTGTGTGTAGCTGTTCTCGGGTCCCTGTTGGAGAATGAGCTTGCATCCTAAATGTCTGAGAAGTCCTGGTTTATTAACCCTTTGAGTCACACTGGCGAGAATCCGTACACAGTGGAGATTTGGGAGTTGGGGTGAGGCTGATGGTGGGGGCAGGTGTGTGGATCTAGTGGGGGTAGAAAGTGGAAACTGTGAACTATAGTGTGCTTGTCTTGTTTCAGTGAGGAAGCCTGGCTGAGGAAGAGCCAGCAGCACCCCTTGCTTTTCCTGGGTCCTGTCTGGGAGGGACAGAGAACAGCTAAGTTCTAGCGCCTGCTAATTCAGTGAGGGTCAGATAAGCTATATGCAGTTGGAATTCCTTCCCCCTGTAAGCTGGGCAGATCGTGAAGCCCGCATGACGCCGAGTTGTCAGGTCTGTGTCAACTCCCTCCACACACAGTCAGTCTTTGGTTTGTTCCCCATCCATCCTCAGTTCCCTCTCAAGCTTGAGTTGACTTTCAGCAGTGGACAATCTCTGGAGTCTGAATCTACCTGGGTTTTGAGCCTGTCCCAGGAACCTCTTCCCTGTTTCCCCAAGGAGGGTGCCAGTGCCTAGCGAACAAGAGCTCCCAGGTCAGGGTGAAGGCCAGTCTCCCTACGTGTGGCATTTCTTTGATATTTCAGCTGGGGAGCTCAGGCTCATTGGCCATGAGAGGAGGGTGAGTGGGTGGTGTCTTCAGGCCATTCCCCTCTTGGAAATGACTGAAATGAAGGTACTAGAAGGGCTCAGGGGGTTAATTGGTTTGCAGTGTGTCTTTGTCTATTGCATGTCTTGGAAAACTCAGATCCTAAAGGCATTGGGTTTCAGAGAGGACAGTGGAGGCCTTGCTCCTTGGTCTTGGGGACTTCTCTGGGCAGCCACCCTCTCCCAAGTTTAGGGGGAGGCTGTTTCTACAGCTTCTCTGTGGAAACACATGGCAGAGGTGTTGCTGCTTCCGGATCCCATTACCATGGCTTTTCCTTTCTTCTCCATTTCCTCATGCATCAACACTTAAAACTCAGAATTTTCCTAGGATCAGATCCAGCACCAGCCATTCGGCACCTACCCCTATGGCAACCAAGGCCTAAGGTTCAACTTCTACTTGCGTGTGAGGCAGGTGAATGTACCAAACACCAGTGAGTGTAAATTTGTGTGTCCATCATCAAAGAGAGAGATTGAGGAAATGATATACCCAAGGGGACAGAAAAAGAACTCCTTGTGAGAGTCCATGAGGCCCACACATAGCACCACCTTGGAGGGGAAGGCCTGGGGCCTGGGCAGCCTTTTGATGGAGCATGCCCAGTGAACTCATGAGTGCGCAGAGGTGACCCAGAGTTGTCTCGAGCAGCCTTTCAAGCAACGCCAACAGCTCTTCTTGGGAGCAAACTGCCACGGATGCCTTGACCACAAGACGTGAGTATCTACCAGCACCAGAAGCTCATCTGGACCAGAGGAAGGCTGAGCCAGAGTTCCTTCCTCTGAGGGCCCAGGCTCATAAGCAGATCCCCATGACCCACGGGGTCCACATGGAGAACTGCAATGCAGGAGCTTGTGTTCTTCTGAATTCTTAGCAGCCGGCACCTTCTACCAGGGAGGCTGCTGCTTTGGACTTCTTTGTGGAGAACCTCCACACAAGAGAGCCAGAGCCCCCAGGGCTGCTTGGACACACAACACTGTCTCCAAGAAGCAAGTTAGTGGGAGAAGAGCCACTGTTTCTGCATGGGGGCATCCACGGAGCCTGGTGGCCCGGACTGATGCGCCTCAATGTGTCCTGGACTTTTCTTCCTTTAAAACAAACAGTCCCCTTATCTCTCCTCTCTATAACTTGCCCTTTTGGGAGACTATTCCTCGTGCCTTTCTCTTTCATGGTCCTCATGCTTGTGGCTTGCTTTGGGCACATCTGTTTTTGTTTTTTTGTTTTTTTTTCTTTCTTTTTATTCAATGCAGTCAGGGGAATTAAAAAAAAAGGAGAACTGTATGGACCTCATCATAGCTGTCAGTGTCACCATTGCTTTGGGAGAAGCGGGTGCACGTGGGGCTGATAAACTCACACAATATTTGTATTTTTGAGGGGCTGCCTTCTCAGTGTGCTCTCTTGTGAATTTTTTTTTCTTTTCTCCATCTCTTTCCTTTTCTGTCTCTCCATTCTATTCCTCTTCTTATGCACTGACCTACCTTTTCTCTGTTGACCAGTACAGGTTAGAACCTGTACTATCCTTTGTCCAGCTCCATGGAGATAGATTTCAACCAGGATTCTCTTTTATTTTTATTTTTCGGATGGGGAGGCAGAGCTGGAAGTAGAGGAAATGTAGCATCTAGAGATTCCCCAGAAGGAGTAGTATCTGAATGGCTGTGCGGGAATGTGGCCAACCCTTTCCAGCATTCTTTTCTATTCAAATTTCAGCAGGGAAAAAAAGTCTCAATAAAGTTCCAATCTCTCTTTAACACCTTGTCGTTCCTTTAACACAGCGCGTGACATGTAGGAGCTCTTCACTCGTGTGTTGCTGTATCTACTGGAGCAGTAAAGAAGTTGACTGGGTTTTTACTTGCTTGTTTTGTTTCTTTGAGACAAGATCTTGCTATGTAGTTCAGGCTTGCCTCAAACTTGTGATCCTTCTGTCTCAGTCCCCAACGTGTTGGGAATTATAGATGTGTGCCACATACCTGGTTTGACTGTGTGCTCTGTGCTGTATGTGGATGGTTCCCAGTTGAGGGGTGGGGAGAGTCTGGGGTGGGAGAGTGGCTGGAGTCATTGTGTGAATATATGAGTGGATTACAGATTACGGAGGAGTATGTGCAGGCAGAAGTGTGGGTGAGGGAACCCTGAGAGAGTGGGGCAGAGGTAGTCACAGAAAGCCAAAGTGTCAGTTCCTGGTGTTGCAGGTGAAAAGGCCTTAGAAAACTCATGAGTAGCCAGGCATTGGCGGCCCACACCTGTCATCCTAGCTACTCAGGAGGCTGAAAGCTGAGGATGGCTGTTCAAAGCCAGCCTGGGCAGGAAATTCCGTGAGACTCTTATCTCCAATCAACTACTAGAAAACCAGAAGTGGTGCTGTGGCTCAAGTGGTCTCTACCACTTGAGTGCTAACCTTGCGCTGAAGAACTCAGGGACAGCGCCCAGGCCCAGAGTTCAAGCCCCACGAGCAGTGACATAAAGCTGTCTGTAGGAAAGGAATAGTCCATAGGTTGTGCCCTCCTCTTAACCTAAGGAGAAACTATAAAGGAACTACAAAGAAACATTTTTCTATAACTGTGTTTCCCACACTGTCTCTGGGGAAGGGAACCGGTTTCCAGATACCTAAAGTACCTGAGCTTCAGGCCTGGAAGCATGAGCACACTCACACTGACAGTCATAACAACCGGAGCTTTATGTGCATTATTGCATGTAAGCCTCACAGCAGCCCCGCAGGGAGGTGGCTGGACAGCACAGTTCAGCACCAGACTGGAATCTGATTAATCAGGATTGATCCTGGGTTTCCCCACATACTTAGCCTGAGGCAAATGACTGAACTCTCCTTTCACTTTCAGAATAGAGATACTGATCGTCTCTCTGTGGTGGTGGGGGGGAGGGGAGGGAAGAGTTAATAGTGGGGATTAAATGATTTGGTACAGGGCAGGGAATGTGGCTTAGTGGTAGAGTGTTTGCCTAGCATGCATGAAGCCCTGAGGTTCAATTCCTCAGTACCACATGAACAGAAAAAGCCCGAAGTGGTGCTGTGGCTCAAGTGGTAGAGTGCTAGCCTTGAGCTAAAAGAAGCTCAGGACTGTGCCCAGGCCCTGAGTTCAAGCCCCAGGCCTGGTGGAAAAAAATGATACATGCAACATGCTTATTCATTATTCATGCTTTACGGATGAGACCAACGGTCAGAGTGATTAGGATGATGGCGTGTGTGAGTGAGAGGGCAGAGCTCTGCCCAGCCCCCGGCTCTCCCTGTGGGTCATGCTAGGTTACCTGCTTTGCGTTATGTTAGGTGACATTGTACCTTTCTGATCCCAAGTCTTTTTCTCTTTTTCACAAACTGGCAAAGTTCAGAATTGCTTCATTTTTTTTTTTAATGGTTAGCCAGAACTTTGACTCTTGCTATGTAACACAATTCGAAGTATTGAAAAGTAACTTTTACCAGAAAATGTATTGAGGTATTTTCTAAACAAGAGAAATCTTAAGTCCATTTCACTTTTGATCTTCTCCATGATCTTATAAAATAGGTGGGGAAAGATAGATATATTTATTACCTCTAAATCCAAATCCAACACAAAAACTCAGTATACGCCTGGTACCAGTGGTTCACACCTGTAATCCTAGCTACTCAGGAGGCTGAGATCTGAGGATCTTGGTTCAAAGCTGGCCCAGTCAGGAAAGTCCCTGTGAGACCCTTATCTCCAGTTAACCACTCAAAAACTGGAAGTGGTGTTGTGGCTCAAGTGGTAGAGTGTTAGCCTTGAGCTGAAGAGCTGAAGGACAGTACCCAAGACCAGAATTCAAGCTCCACAGCTGACAAACAAAACAAGACACCAGCACATCCAGAGAGGTCTAGAGAGTTTTGAGTTCACTCAACTAATACATGACAATACATGACCAAAATTGCTAAATCTCTATCCATCCAAATATTCTTTTCACTTTTTTTTTTTTTTTGGTCCGGTGGTGGGGCCTGAACTCTGGGCCTGGGCGCTGTCCCTCAGCTGTTCAGCTCAAGGCTAGCGCTCTACCACTTGAGCCACAGCACCACCTCCAGCTTTTTTCTTTTTTCTTATGTGGTGCTGAGGAATCGAACCCAGGGCCTCAGGCATGCAAGGCAAGTGATCTACCACTGAGCCACCTTCCCAGCCCTCCATCCAAATATTCTTCTACTGTTTTGTTTTGGAGACATGGTCTATGTAGCCCAGGCTGTCCTTGAATTTGGTCCTTCAGCATCAGCCTCCCAAGTGCTAGCGTTAGTTAGAACAGTGTGCCACCCACCAAATTCTACCACACAGATTTGTGATAATCTGTAATGCACAGTATATTTATCTCACACACTAAAAAAAATTGTATTTATAAGGGGTGCAAAATTATGTTTCCATTCTCAGCAAGTTTCTGGATTTTTTGTCCAACCTAATTTAAAAAGATTTGGAAGTTTTGTACGTTTATTAAGGCATAGTTTCTGTCCTGGGATAAACAGCCATTAGTAAGAGGAATAAGGCACAGGATGGAGACTGATATCGGTAGTTCACAGGGATAAAGTGCCCTTTGCCAAACCGAACATTGGGATACATGGTCTGGAGAAAGATTTTCTTTTCTCTTGTTTTATTTGCTAATCCTGGGGCTTGAATTCTGGGCCTGAGCACTGTGCCTTTTTGCTCACTCTACTACTACTACTTGAGCCATAGCGCCACTTCTGGCTTTTTCTGGTGGTTAATTGAAGAGTCCCATGGCCTTTCCTTCCCGAGCTGAGATCCTTAGATCTCAGCCTCCTAAGCAGCTAGGATTACAGGCGGGAGCCACAGGGGCCGGCGAGGTGGTGGTTAGAAGACGCAGCTGGCAGCTGCACTGGGGTTGGCCGGAACCCGGCACCAGGAGCTGCCGTCTGCCCTGGGTCTGGATGGGAGGCCCTGGATTTCTGTCTCCCCCGACTCGGCCTCACTCCTAAGAACCGGGAATCAGATGACCTAGCCCCATTAAGCAGGCGGAAGAAGCTCACGCCGGTCCATCCGCCCCGGCTGAGGACGTCCAAAGTTCTCTCCCCTCGTTGGCAGCCTTCCACACTTCGGTGCAGTGGGTCCCGGTGGAGTGGGGGAAGGTCGGGTGACAGAGGCCCACGAGGCCCTCCACCTTCCGGCCGGAGCAAGACCCGCATTGCGTGCCTTCGCGGGGATCCTCTACCTGGGCCCCGTGTTTCCTTCTTCAAGTAGTTGTGCAAGGGGCTTCAACAGGGCAGGTTTCCAGCGGAGCGAATCTTGATCCATGATCCTGTGCTCACGGTGCCCTCGGCCCGGTCCTCACCTCGGCCAGATCGGGCCGGTCCCCTGGCGCTAGGTTTTCCTGACCGGGGAAACTGAGGCCTCACGAGGGCAGTGGGAGACAAGCGTCCGGGGAGGGAGAACCGGGTGCTGGGCTGAATGTGGTTTCCCTCTGCCAGCCCAGCTCCTCTCGTGAGATCAGCTCTCCCCGGAGAAGCCACGCCTGACCCGGCAGGTCCAGGACGGACCTTGCGACCGCCCGGGTCCTAAGTTCTAGGGTGGCAGAACCGGGTGTGAAATCAAAACCCGGGGAACCGCGGGCGGGGAGGAGACGACGGGCACCCGGCGCAGGCGCACTGCGGCCCGGCGTGGTCCCGCTCCCGGCAGCCCCGCCCCCGGGGGCGGCGCGCTTTGGGGCGCGTCACGCGCCGGCGCAGGCGCAGACGCCGGGGCGCGCGCGTCGCCTTCCAGTCCGGGGGAAGCGTCCTGAGTCGCGGAGTCGGGCGCAGCCCGCGGCGGGCGGCGGCTGGGTGCGCAGCGCGGCTGGCATGTGAGCGGGCCGAGTTTGAATGGAGCGCCTTGTGCGCCCGCTGCCGTCGGAGCCCACGAGCCGCGGCCCCTCTCAGCCCGTCGCTGACGCGCCCGAGGCCGCCCCGACGGGCACCCCGGGCCTGGGCTGTGCCCTCCGCCCTGGCGTCGGCCCGGCTTGGCGGGGGTCGGGGGGGGGGGAGGCCCACGACCTGGAAACCACGAGAGAAATCCCGAAAGCTTCGCTGTGGGACCCGCGGAGAAGTCCAATGTGCGGAAAGTGCCATGCTGTGGAAACAACCTCAGAGAGTGCCGTGTGCAGGTATTAGAGTGACATTTTCACCCGAGGCCAGCCCCAGGTAAAACACGAAACGAGGATCCGGAGAGCCCACCGGACGAGATCGAATTCCCCGCGGCCCTCCGATCCTGCCCGGCCCTCGCCCCACTGCGGGGGGCGGCAGGGGAGAGCTTCTGCAGAGGGGCCATACTCTGATTGGGGTGGCTCCCTGCCACCACTGGGGCCCCCCAGATCACTGATTTCACCAGCTGGAAAGGACTTTAGAGATTCAGTAGTATTCTCATCAAGAAGTCATCAGCTAGGGATGGATGTAGCGCAGTGGTAAGGGCGCTTTGCTTAGCAGATGCGGCCCTGAGTTCTATTCCCAGGGCCCCTCTCAAAAAGACAAAAACACAAAAAACAAAACCAAAGCAAAGCAACACAACCCTCCTCCCCCAGCCAAACCCCAGAGTCTCAAAAGCCGAAACATGAAACATGTCCAGGGAAGAGGATCTCAATCCAGAGCACTTCATCTCTTCAGGCAGGTTGCAGGACACTCTGGCCTCCAAGACAGGGCCCTCCCCAGCATTTCCCAGTGCAGAGGGGAGCATTTTCCTTTGGATAGTCTGTGAAGAGACTGTACAGTTAGTTGCTTCCTTGCTCAAATCCTTGAGTATGTTAGAACTTAGGAAATGGCCTCTGTGGAGTTGATCAGTTGGTTACTGAA